TTAAGCTGCATGTCCCAGCAGCAGTTGCTTGGGATTCTTGGAAGCTTAAAGTAAAACTTGGAATATTTATTCTTTCTTTCTTCTTCTTTTTTTTTGGAGGGGCTCTAGAAAGTTGGATATGTTTGGTTGAGTTTAACACCAAATAGTATGAATTTTGGCAAATATTTGCATGTACTTCTCAATTGCTCAAGGTGTTTTACTTTTGCAGGGATATAGTGAGGTCCAGTTGAAGGAATGTTTAGAGGAATATGCAGCCTTAAACGTGTGGCAAATACATCCCCATGCTTTTGATATCCGTTTCATTGATGCCTGAAAACAGTTCGTTTTTGAACTATAAGAAGCACTGGATAGCTTTATTTTACAGATGGAGTAGGATAGTATCCAAATTGTACGTGTTAGTAGGTAGTTTAGTTACTGTTGCTTTTTGCCTTGTCTGTATCAGCTGCTGCTAGTGTTCGATATTTATCGACACTGACAAAACATAACTGCACTTTTTAAAATGAATCTTTTTAAAATTAATTATTTCCGGGTAATTTTCTCGGAAACTTTGACATATTTGAGATACTTGAATCAGAAATGTTTTTATGGTTCGCCCTGCTCTTAGAACATTAGGGTTATAAGAAGATTTTCTATACTTTAAAACTGGGTTTCTACTCAAAAATCACCTTTCATCGTTTTTGATTTCTAACAGTTGAACTGTCTAAACTATTGCAGCGATTGCAGGAGTGATTGATAATGGGGGCTCAGCCAAGAGTGAAAGCCATACTTTGGCTTGGTTAAGAGACATATTCAGTTATGGCGGTGAACGGCCAAAGTCTTTCCGAGCAGTTGGTTTCTGTGAAAGAAGAAAGTATGACCATTTTGAAGGAATTCATCACCAAACACAATGTTCCCACCGATGTCCTTGATGATCTGGTTGAACCTTCTTCTTCTTCAGAAGAAGAAGAGGTCTCCGAGAAGCCCCAGGCTAAGTCAAAGAAAACAAAAATCAACGAAGACTGAGGAATTCCAGCCCCAAAAACTTGTATGGAGTTCTTCCCATGGTGTATTTACTATTCAGTATTAGGTTTTTTATGCAAAAAAACAGTTCTATGTTCCATGGAAATCCATCTCTTATGTGTTGATTTTCAGATTTACTCCAAACGGGTACTTTATATAATAGATTTCTAAGCTTAATACATAGAAAATCTGCATCTTGCACACTTCTTGTTTCTTAGCTAAAGATTGTCTGAAAGGTATCAGATTACATAGCTGTTGTTTTTCTATGATAGCGGTAACAATATTATTTGGCTATTAATTCTGTTTCTACATCCTAAATTTGTCTTCCAAATAGATTCATAACTACTATAGAAGGCCAAGAAAATAAAACTACTACAATATATGCTACGAACTATATGTACTTAAACAATATGCAGTTCTCCATGGATCTTTCTGATTGCTTCTGTCAGGGCTTCTTGCTGCAGAGGTTTTCCAAGACAATCATCCATTCCAGCTGTAATTGCCCTACTTGTCTCTTCCCCCGATGCATGACCAGTTAGTGCAAAAATGGGCAGGTGGACACCAAAAACCTTTTCCTCTTCCCTTATTCGTCTTAATGCCTGATATCCGTCCATCAATGGCATCTGTACAACATTCAATTCAAGTACATGGTAATTCAAACTCAGAAAATTTTTATTTTAAGTATATGATGGAGACGGGAATCATAGGTTTTACCTGGCAGTCCATTAGTATATAGTCATAAGGAAGAACATGAGAAGCCCCATTTTTTGTTCGATCTCTGAGACCATTGCGAACCAAGTTTAGCGCTTCCTTTCCATTTTCACATACCTCAACAATAGCACCATCCTGTTCAAGTTTCTTCATGGTGACCTTGCGGAGCATCCTGTTATCCTCAGCTACGAAGATTTTCTTCCCTGTCCAAAGTTGCTTCTTGCTTGAATCAACACATTTTTCTTGTCTTTCAATCTGCCCCGGCTGGCATTGAGAGTGAGGTGGAAATGATCTCAAATTCCTCTTAGATGTTGGATATTTATAAGGAGGATATGATCCCAGTCTTCCACTTCTCAGACTAGTCCCTTCCTGTATCTCCCTTGTTGGAGCGGATGTTCCTGTAAAATTTGATTCTCCAACCTTGGTTTTCTAGAAGACGAGCCACAATCTTGAGAAACCTTTTCAGCTTGGTAGATGTTTTTACTCTTCAGATTACCTCCAAATTCAGGTAGGAGTTTAATTACTTGATACAATCGGCTTCCATGGAAAGGCTTTACTAGAATATCATCATCAGCCTCAGAGATTTCCTCTTTAGAATTGATTTTCCGTGGAACTGAGTTATCCAACCAAACAACCTTACAAGTACTCTGGAGGCTTCGTCGAAATTTAGACACAATCTCATCGAGTTTTGCAACCGGTCCTGCTCCTGCATCAATCACAAGTAGTACGAACAACGGAAAACCTCTCTTTCTGGACAACTGTAGTTTTTGCTCTGTTCCATCCATGGCACTCAGAGGGAAATCCTTAGCACTTGCACTAGACATGTCACTTCTTAAATTCCCTGTTGAATGAAGTTCAGATTTTTGTAGTTTTCGAAGTACTGTGCCATCACATGCTGCAACAATTCAGTTTCTGATTTTTTGATGTAATTTAACCTTTGGTTTGGTAGCTTTTTGTTAACCTTCTGTCAGTATAGACACTTGAGTAGGGGCTAAAATTAAGCTACTTGTAGTTTGGTAAACTACTCTTTTCCTTTCCCGAAAGTTAGTGTTTATTTTGCATAAAAGGAGAAATCAATTATCTTTTCTGTGTTCTGCTCATTTTTTCTCTCTGTTTTTTTTCTCTCCATTTTTCCTTTGAGCAAAAACGTTACATTCCCTTCCACTTTTTTCGTAGAATTGTGAGGGGAAGTAATCTGTTTGGATTTTATTTTCTCGAGCACAGAAGAAAGTTGCTTCCATCTTTGAACAACTAACACATTTATCCCCAAACTCTCCATGTATTTTTGCAAACTTGCCCGGCGCCCAGTGTTCTGAATCAAGAGAACAACTTGAGATGCTTCAAGCCTAGGACTTGAGATGAGAATGCCCAGCCTAGGACTAGGATTTTGGATGCTCGGATAGGGATTGAGGGTCGGAATAGTTAGCCCTAAACGGTGCACAACATCTGCACTTGTATGATCTTCTCCACCCTCATTTTCTCCTCTAGTATTATCAGCATCGGCAATATCGGATACAGTGAGGAAGACATTGAACCTGAAGCATGTTCCTTTTTCATCTGCTGGTTTATCAACAATTCCTATCTCTCCACCCATTAGACGTACCTAATGCAAAATTTTAGAAAAATAAAGAATTAGACTGAATTCATCTTTCAAGATAGGTTTAAATTAATGTCATAATTTTTACCTACCAGGGATTGAACAATTCCAAGTCCTAATCCTGTTCCAGAAAGGGCGGTTTCTTCTTCGTTCCTTCCAATGGTTGTTTTTGTTTGGTCCCTTCTGAGGGCTGTTTCTTTAGCCTGAACAAAATTTTCAAAGATAGACTTTTGCTTCTCCTTTGGAATTCCTTTCCCTGTATCATCCACCTCGAAAACAAATTCCACGGAGTTAGGATTCTGTCTCACTGCGTCAATGGCTTCTATGTCGTTACAGGTTTCCCTGTTCTTGCAAAACAAGTTAGTTGTCAAGCATTTGTTGAGGCCACTATGACTAGAAGCAAGAATTTCACTTTGAAGGCTAGGTTTCTGAACCCAAGCTCGTATGGCTATGTGCCCCTCAAATGTAAATTTCACAGCATTGCTTATTAAATTGCAGAGGACTTGCTTCAATCTCCCTCTATCTCCTCTCACATGTGAAAATTTGAGGATAGATCCGTTGTGCGGATCTAACACCACATCAACACCTTTCTTCATGCCCATAATATGGAAAAAATCGGCTACTTGTTCCAGCAACTCGCCCAGATTGAATTCTTCTTCTTCCAATTGCATTTTCCCAGCCTCAATCTTGCTCATATCCAGAATGGAATTCAATAACCCTGAAAAGATAGTGAGCAACGAACAAACATATGTAAGTTATGTTACACAAACACTTCTTAGGTCCATATAACATGAACTGCTGAAGATGGAATAAATATTACCTAATAGATCCTTCGTACATGATTCCATATCTTTGAGATTTGATTTTAAATTAGACCCGTGAAGGACTTCGTCTTTGGATATCCTTATCAGTTCAGTAATGGCAGCTAGGGGTGTTCGTATGTCATGGCTAGCGCTGGCAAAGGCAAGACTCTTGTTCATACTTTTTCTCTCGGCTTGTTGAGTTGCTTCCATTTGCTTGATGAGCTTGGCACAGAGGTGCATCTCTCTTCTTCCAGCTCGGACCATCAGAAGTACAAAGCTGAAGACAGAGATTATCACCACGACCATCATTGTTGCCAAAAGAGTTAGTGCTAGCCTGCTGTTCTCCTTAACAATGTTTGCTGATCCTTTGTACGGCAGCAGCAATGCATTTGCCTATGAAAAAGTATTGCAATATTAGGTGTGTTATTCTCAAGTCAGTTTGCACGAATTAAAATAATTAGCTCGATCGCAGGATTTGGAACATACCAATTGCACGCCCAAAATTTCAATCTGCGAGCAGAAGACCTTGAATTTTGTTTCTCCTATGGCCAAAATACCTATACATTCCGTAGCATTCTCCGGTATGCACCGAAAATTTCTAATTTGAGCTATTCCATGATCATTTGGATTCTCCACTTGAAAGGAAATTGAACTGTTAACTAAGGTCATGTGAGTATTTGGAATTTCCTCCATCAGTGTTTCTCCATCCTCCGTAGCCAAGTACAAGTTCCCTCCATAAAGTTCTATACCCTCCATTATATCAGTCAATGCCTTAACCGGCAACCCTAGAGAGATGATTGCTCTTCCATCAACTCCAGCACTGTGTAGAATAAGAGAACCATTATCACGGGCGCCCCATCCGTCTCCTAATGAAGCATAAACGTCCATACTATTTAAAGATGCTTGAAACCAGCTAGTGTTCACGACACTGAAAGGTACCGGGAATGTAACAGCTCCTCCGTATAGCTTTCCTGTCAAAGGATCCACCGGTTGCTCGTACCAAACATCCTCCATTCTTCTTCCTATGTTGCTCGAATTGGAGTGGAGTGCAAGAACTTGATTTCCTTCCATGTAGTATGAAAAGAAGTCTCCATTTAACCCTATGTACGAGATTTGGGACACCAGAGGGATTGTTGTAAAGGCTTGAAACAACATGGGAGCTATACCTAATTTTTAACAAATGGTAAATTTATCATAATTAGAAAATCACGCGAAAATTTTAGATCAGGGACTGAAATGATTAAGAGTACATGTAACATTGTACTAGAATAGAGTCAGAAATAGTTAAACAACATAATACAAACCTTGGTTTCAATCTCAATGGAGAAGAATTCACTTCCATTGACTATGAGACTCACAAGTTTTGCCAGACGCGGAGTGGATGAATTCAGTGGACTAAGCAATTTTCCGATGCTCTCAATTTCGAATTGAAGTCTGGATTGTAATCGTCTGTTGTTCAACTTTACGTCACGTTCAATGTGTCTTGTCATCCGATGCCAACATGGGATCACCAAAGCGGGAAGCAGCAGCACCACGAAAGCCTATATAATTTGAAGACCTATTAGATTAATGAAAATCTCTTTAACCAAATGATTTTTCTTTTCCTTTTCTCCTTCGAAATAAAAAAATAGGAAAAACGAAAAAGGATGGGATTGGGAGTATTTTGGAGGGATTACCAGGAAGATGAAGAAGGAGACTGGTCGAGCCGCTATCAATGAGCTAAGCTTCATTGGATCTTTGAACTATGATCGAACCTTTTTTT